ATATACATATATTTGCACATGATAAAAAGGGTAGTAATTTGGTTCCGTCTCAAGCAAATCTCTGATGTGTGTGCACTAGAATACAGCTGTGTTTGCCCAGCTGCTACACTTCACTGTGTAGATTATACAACTTGAAACTTGCTGATAAGCTGATTAACCAGGTTATAATTTCATTCATGTGTTACAAAGTTTAGATGTATATGTATCTTTATTTTAGTGCTTTGAATGATATAATTTATAATTTGTTTTCATTACTTGTCAGGTGTTCTTGAAGTATGACTGTATGGTTATCGGAGGAAGACTACTGCTCACCAAGTTGGTTAAAAGTTTTGAGCATAAAAAGATGAGAGAAACAGATATGCTAAAGTGTATTAAGGAAAATTCCAGTTGAGGATAAAGTACTTAACTAATGAATTTATGATCAAACAACAACTAGCAGCAAGCACTTGTCCTATTTGTTCCTATTTGTTATGTACTAGAAATAAGCACAGTGTTTTTTTTCTTTTTTTTCTTCAAAATTGCCAATTCTGCATGGGAATTCCATTTCAAAGTGACTACCGGTAGTGAATGGATGTATTTTTGTCCATAGAAATTGTACACTTCAGATTTTGCTTACTGAGATGATGCATAGAAAACATTGCAGTGTATATATGTAATTCAAATAAGTTATAGCCAGCTTGTACAAATATATGAAAGTTCATGTAGCACTCGGGTCAGTTTCGTTCACACCAAAACATTCGCTTCGCACTAACTCATATTACACTACCATTAACAAATTAATAAATCCACTCAGTGCTACATGTACATGTATATATGAGTGACATCTGCTAAGAGAAACAGATCTGGAAATTCTCTTTTATGCACTCCTTGTTACAGTATAAAAAAATACTTTTATGTTTGCAGGAGCTTCTGTAGGATTTGGTGTTGTGAAAGAGCAATTTTTTTTCACAGTGATCCTGTATAATTACGTATGTTATTGCCATATTACCAGATTTCTTTTGCAGCTTACCAGAGCTATATCGCTTACCACTCCTGTTTATTTTTATCGCTGCCTTGTAATCACCACCTTGTTAGCACAATATTCACTTGTTATAATAGTCACATTCACTGAATCCAAGAAATTTTATCAACAGGTTTCCACAGTTACAGAAATACAAATGTTGATTCTTGACTTTTTATTTATCCAAATTGGAATATGTGGGCATACAGGTGTATAAAGGAAAATTAAAGATCACTGTTTATTATTTTTTAATAGAAAAAAAAAATGACTTTCATAAATTGGTTTATATATTTTGCCAGATGCTGATTTCATATTGAAATATTGTGTCATCAGATCCAAGAATAAAAAATGTTTCCATTTGGTAAACTTACATTTACATGTTATTGTTTTGTCGATACAAATTTAAAATAATGAGTAATAATAGTGTAGTTTACCAAGGAAAGCCTCATCAGTACCAATGCTGCTCTTCCAGAGGGCCTGTAATTATTAATACCTATGGAGACTGGCAAATGTAGATGTTAGTACTGGGCTGTGATTCAAACCCCAACCATTGTAATTATAGTCAAGTGAATGAACACTTCCACATACCGTCTGATAATCAATAAAAAAATAATCACAGGCACACATGGCTCTGTTTGAAATTGTTATACCAGAAATGACATGAACTGCACTTTTTTTAAAGCCGAGCGGTACAGCCCCATAGGAAAATGGTACAGTGGTGTTGCCGAGAGTGGTTTCACTAAAAGGCTTGAATATTGGCAATGTATGTTTGGTTATATCTATCATTCATAACCAGAGTGTTACAAGTACATGTATAGTCAAAGAACTGGTTTTGGATAAAGAAGCCCATGGGAACAGGGGAAAATAGTAATTTAAGAAACAACGCTGCTCAGGTGAATTAGGTGCAGACCGTTTTCAAATACAATAATCTACATATTCCTTTCTGTGCCTCATTCTGCATTTTGTTAATGCTTTGAATTCTCTAGATGAATACATGTACACAGATATGACAACCAGTACGATTTTATTGTATTACTATGAGTAAAATAATAAGAGTAAAATACAAAAATAAAATATTGCCTCTTGAAAATACGATTTTTCATCTTTTAAAGAATACAAAATAAAAGATTAATAAATCCTTAGAAATTGAGAATCGCATAGAAACATGTACAAGTAAACCCTTGACAAAAAACTTTGCTTTACAATTTTCACATTAAATGTTAATAACACAGCAAACATTTTACTTGACTGTTCTTACCAGTAAAAAAAAATTCTGACATTTTACTGTCCTGGCGCCATTTTTCACTCACTGATCTGATTTTGAATAAATATATATTTTTGTGTCCAGAGGGTGGAATCTCTGTGTACAGCAAGGGTCCACTTGGTTACTCTATGCAATGGGTTAAAGAGTACAAACGCCAATGAATGTGAATTAAACTTCGGGACTTTATGCAGTTGGGAGTTTCATGTAAACTGCTTTTTCCTGGCTATTACTCTTCTTTTTCTTGAGCTTATTCATCTTCTGGTGGCTTTCTCGTTTACCCTTGAACAGAATAATACCACTAATCACAAGAAACACCATTACAATTAGAAGTACTGGCATGAACATACAGAAGATAGTCAGGAGATACCTATTCTCTGAAGTGTGCTTAGTTGGTGTTTGTGCAAGTGCATCATTTGTTTCGTTAGAGACAGGAGTCTTAGAGTTCTCTGAAATTTGAGAATTTGATGGATCTGATGATGTTTTGGGACAAGGATCTATGGTACTATTTGACTGTGTGTCGTTTGAGGGATCCCACACTGAGTCTGTACATTCGCACAGATCCGTGGGTCGCTGTTGCGTCGAAGTGCAGCAGAACGTCGGATACGATCTCTTAACCACCCAGAACGTCTGCTCCAAGACCTGGTTGGTTTGGAACGGCATAGCCACAGGGGGGATCCTCATTCCACGTTGGAAGCATTTGATCTCGCCCGGAAGGGTTCCGACGGGAGCAGTGCAATGCAGCGAAACCCAGTCCCCCACTCTGTACTCGTGGCTCAACTTGCACGATGCCTTGCCGGGTGGATAATCCACAAGCAGCCCAATTCTTTTGGTGTTTTCATCCAGTATCTCATCTCCTTGATACACAGTAAGGATGCATGTCCCCTCGTCTTTTCTGGTAACAGGATTTATCGCAAGGTGGATAGAACAAATTTCGTTTTCAGTCTCATTTTGATCCTGAACAATGTATCTCTTAGGAAGTGAGCTTGTTTCAAGATTCGAGTTGTAAAATGGGGCCTTGTCTCCCATCCGTAGGGTTACCCTTGTGCAGAAACATGGGTATTGGAAGTCCAGATTTGCCTCATCCCCTTCTGTTAATTTCAGTGTCTCAGAATCACATTGTGCAAATAGGATTGCAATTATGATCAGGGCGAGAGATTTTAGTTTATATTGGCATTTGATGGGAACTTCTTGAAAGGTATCCATGCTTTTGTGGTAGTGCAGTCCGGACACAGATGTGAGAAATGATCAAAACAAGATCTACTGTATATCATCTAAATGCTTCCGAACAACAGTGATATTCAAGTGCATATGATTCAGAGGTACTTGTCTCTTTTGAAGAAGACTGCTATTCCATGTCTAAACCTACCGGTATATAGACATTTTCATTATTCCAAGACATCAAGGGAATATTCCAAATGACTTGCACCATTTAAGAATACAGTGTCAATGTATGTTAACCTGGAATGCTATGAAATGAATGGTCCTTTCTTCCATCTAGAAGGTAGAGTAGAAGTTGCTGTTGTTCATCCAAAATATCTCTGCAGAATATGCATGAAACTTTGACCTGTATCTTGTTCTTGGCATCAGTGCCTTCATGATTTTAAAACCAAATCTGCATTTCTTTGCCAATTCAATACATATTAATGAAGGTTGATTAGAAACAAGTTATTTTATCAATGAATTCCGAAGATTTTCTTTTGTGTCAGACTGAGAACTTCCATATGTTATCCAACTGAGAGTTAAAGTGAAACTTGAAGCTGAAAGATATAAAAGAGTGAAAACTCAGTGTAATAGATACATGTAATGTAAACATAAATTAAAAATTAATAGAAATAGAACATGTCCAAGGGAAGTACTGTAGTATCATTATTATCATCATAAACAACATTACGAGAGGGAGTGATAGAGGGATGACAAACTGAGATTAATAGTGGAAATCAACTACACAATTCAATGTTGATAAAAGTGAAATTCATGCTTACTGCAAAGACCTCAGGCAAAATTTCTCCAAGACCATCAGATCATTTAGATATTGTCAATTGGCAAGTGTCAATAGCAGCTCCCATGACTGTAACCAGCAATTTTGTCCACCAATAGATCGCAACAACAATATTTCATTAAGTAGAATAACAGATTGCATTTGTAATGAACTTTAGTGCCATTGACAGATGGTGATCCTCCCATGCTGTTTCTATTCAGTATAGTTCTGAGTTTATTGATTGTGTAGCACGTATTATAGGAGGAAAATGATCAAGGCTGACATTTAATATTTTTTCGTTGTATTAAGCATTGTGTTGGACTTTTATACTGATTACTTGTGGACATGTATATCCATGTGTAAATCATGCAATTACATATTGTACATTATCATATCCAAAGGATTGATCTTGTTTTATAATGCCTGTTTAACAAAGAAGTTTTGAAGTCCAGTGTGTGACCTGTACAGTACACTGTATGTCCCATTGATACCTATGACATGAACCTTGATCAGACGAAATGTATCAAATAATCTATTTTTGTCAATTTTTTTCAGTTTATGTTTATCATCCATTATGCTAAAACATTTTGTTCACAACATGAACAAATACATGTACCTTTGACTTGCCTTGATTAAAGTTGAAAATCTTTCTTCTCTTAAAAGTTAAATGTTGCACCCTACATGTATAACTGAAGCATATACAATATCAATGATTTTAATAATCAAATATTTGCCATTTTTCATCTTTTTTATTACAGCATAGAGGGCAGGTTGGTAATGTGTTGTACGTAGACCTCCACCAGCAACCAAACGATGATATCAAAGATGATATGCCCATCTCGCTGAGGGATGCCCTAGTCTTTCTGGAACTCGCTTGCTTCATATCGCCAGAGTCTGTGCCTAAGCGTAAGTACTTTTATCACAGATGAATTTCAACATTAGTTAATATAGTCAAACCTGCTTTAGCGACCAGCTGTATAGAAAGACCACCTGTCTACAAAGACCACATTTTTTGTTTTTCCTTGAAAATGGTTTCTCATTGAATCATATACTAAATGAACCTGTACAGAAAGACCACTTGCCTATATACATTGTAGACCACTTTTTGTGTTACCCTTGGGCGGTCGCTATAGACAGGTTTGACTGTAGCTTCTTTTTTGGGGGGAGGAGGGGGATCGGGAGCGGGAAAGGATCAGACTTTAAGTGAAATTACACACTTGTACATGTAGGATAAATGTGATAAAAAGGTAAGTCTGGTCATACTGTATCAGCCACAGTGCCAGCTATGACAAAGGCCTGAAGAAGCTTGCTGCGTGACAAGCGATAGCTACTGAAACATGTAATTTTTCTTCTGATTGTGAACAAGTAACTAATTCTCAAGACTCTCTCAGCAGCTTTGGATTTGAAAAGAATGAGAAAGTAGGAAATTCATACCATCTTCACTACATAGAATTCCAAAGCAAGTGTGATAACCTGATTGTTTCAAACACACTGTAGAGAGATATTCTTTTAAAGTACACTACATGTATGTGGTTCAAATTTGGCATGATGGTTTTACAAGCAAAATGACATTTAAACCAAAATAATTTAGAGAGTCTACCTCAATGAAGCCCTTAGGATGGGTTGTGCAACATTATATAGATGTGATGACAGAAAGGTATGCAGACCAATCACTGGACTAACTAAGCAGTAGAAAGCCACACCCTTATGTTTCTAGATGTAAAAGTACACTGAGAAGAATTGTCTGGTGCCTATAAATGTGGTATTGGTAAAACCAAACAGAGTATTTGCCCGTCAGTTTGGTCAGCTTTGTGTCATCCAAGTTTTTTTTTTATTGCACTAGATTGGTAGTCTCTTACAATATTCTGATTTCATTCTTTTAATTTAATTTCAGTAGTCGCATAATTTCCCATGTGTTTCGTATAAGAGCAAGAAATGTACAATTGCAAATCCCCCAAATCAAGCGTAAGTCTTGTGATTAATTGCAAATTTGCAATTAATCACAACTCAACTTTCTTGCAACGCCCCATTAGTAAGAGAGAGAGAAAGAGAGAGAGAGAGAGAGCGGGGGGGGGGGGGGAGAATAAAAGTTAAATCTAGTTAACTTAATCTAATTTTTAAAACTTTAATCCTAACAAAAATCTTAGAAAATTTAGGAGACTAGTGGGGCGTTGCAAGGAAGTTGAGTTGCAATCGATTGCAAATATCAGTTGCAAATTTTGCAACTTGCAATCAATCACAACTTTCTTGCCACGCCCCTTTAGTGATGTGAAGTCAATATTTAACCTGTTGACTACTGAGTTCTCTAATGCCCATAGGCTTAATACAGGGACTGCCCGCATCCCATAGGCAATGGGTTAACCTAAAGTTATTTTCATTTCTCACCCTCGTAGCTCAAGCCATAGTGCCTCCCAAGAGGTACCTGCCACCCACTGTACCTAGCAAGGGAGACGACTTTGTGGTGCAAGTCAGCCACATCACAGATCCACAATGCTTCTCGGTTCAAGATGTAAGCCATAGTGACATGATGATAATGCCTTTGTACTGTTTATGATTTAATGAATAAAAGTGTAGTCCGTGGGTTCATTTTGAATCTTGCGCCTGGCTGGAATGCTCCCCAGGGAGTGGAGATTGTGCACACAGTGTGTGCGGGCAAGCATTGAATCCAATGACCGGGGTAATACGATATCTGTAAAGCGTTGTAGAGACATCGTAGATGTATTAAGCGCTATATAAAAGCGAAATATTATTATTAATATATTAATATTATTATTATTATTTTGAATCAGGGGAGGATATGCGTATGGGTCCAAGTTTGCTTTAAAAATATCCAAAGCTAATCCCCCAAATAAAAAGGAGCATAACACGGTCTTCAAATTTACAAGTTTTGTTGACAAAAAAACAACAACTAGGCATCCCATTTAAGCCATTACTCTGATGACAGTTGATATTTGTGTTACTGACCTACTGCAAATAATAACTTCCTACGATATCGCTTTGGATCGTTTATTTTTAGATGGAGATTGTTGACTACCTGAATGAGATGATGGAGAAGATTCAGGTAGACTATGCCAAGAGGATTGGACCCGAATGGCAGGTCTTCTGCCCTCATCCTGGTCTGGTCTGCATGGCTTTCTTCCAAGAAGACCAGAGGTGGTACAGAGGAGAAGTCCTTAGTAAGTCTCTTTCTATCCTCTAATGCCTTTTTGCCCTTTAAAGCCCATCTGTACTAGTTTTGGCTACAATCAATTTTGGTGATGTCAACAAGGTACATGACAAAGTACATTGGACTAGCCAGTGGCCATAGCAATAAAGTGAATGGATAATGATGTTTCATGGTATACATTTCTAATGTTTGAGCCCTCAGTTGCTGTCCTATACATTACAAAAAAGTAAGAAATATAAACAAGTGCCAGATCAGGTACACTATGAATTTGGTGATGTCAAGGTATGGGGCAAAATACTTTGACTTTCCATAGAAATAAAGTGAATGGATAATGATTTCTCATGGTTTAGGTTTCTACTGTTGGAGCCCGTAGTTGCTGCCCCAAACATTACAAAGAACAAAGAAATATAAACAAGTGCCAGGTCAGGTACACTATACATGTAAGTTTGGTTATGTCAGTGAGGTTTGGGGCAAAATGAATTGGACTTTCCACAGAAATAAATTGAATGGATAACGATTTTGTTGTGGTATATTTCTAATGTAGGAGCGGCAGGGAAGCAGCAAGTGGAGGTCCTGTATGTTGACTACGGTAACACAGCAACCATACACTACACCCAACTCAAGAAGATGACGGATGACTTCCTCAAGCTCTACAGACTGGTAAGATATTCCCATTTTTACCTATTGCCCATAGGAATGGGATTATTCCTATGCTAAGCCTGTGGGAATGAGACGCTTCAGGAGTCCACTGGTTACCTTCTGTAACATCGAAGATTTTCACAATTTATGCGAGAGGTTCAGATTCTTGAAATTTTGCATGGTGCAGAATGATTGTATCACAACTGACACAACGCTGAAAATATTGAATTGATAATGTTTTGAGAGTTTTGTTACTCAAAATATTATTGGGTATTTGGCGAAAAGCGAACAGAATCACTGTAACCCTCGGGTCTCTCCTCCCGGTATAACTGATTGGGGGTGTGCAGATGGACCACTACACTGGGGTTTTCCCCTACTCTTATACAAATAGTGCAGTGGGTTCTTAATGTGCAAAGGTGATGACTCTCTTCTACACAGGGCCTCCATTAAACGTCCTATCCGAGGGACACACACAATGCTGTACTGAGTTGTAAATGTTTCCAGTCATCTTATTTCTCAAGAGAGGATAGATTAGGAGACATACACATAAATGTTGACTGCACCACTACTTACCCAGCCTAACATGATTGTTTCATCTTGCGTCAAGACTTCGTAGGACCAATGGAAATTGTCCTCTTCACAAATTGCCTTGTAATATGTCTCTTGATTGCTTTTCATTCCCAATGTGCAGTCTTTACCATGTGGCTTGGTGGACGTTGCACCCAAAGACAAAGAGATAGGCTGGACAGACGAGTCTAAGTTAGTCTTCTCTCAGTGTGTGAGCTTCAAGCCATTAGATGTCTCCGTCATGGGTAAGAATCCGACATGATTGATGAAGCCAATAACACAAAATGACCGGACACACAAGTCTAAGAGCACACAGTCTGTGGATTGTTATCTGTTTTTTTTGTTGTTTTTTTTGTTGTTGTTGTTTTAGTCTTAACCCTTACTGTACTGGGCTATTTTGAGCACCCACTGACTGGGGGGGGGGGCCTGGGAGGCCCCCCCCTATGATCTCGGCCGTCGATTGTCCGATGAACACGAAAATTTGCACGTTTGTAGATATTTACGCAAGGAACAAGATGGTATAATTAGTTTTTTCCGAATATGCAAATTTTTGTCGTTAGCCTAATTAATTATGCAAAAATGCTAATTTTATGCATTTTACAGAAAACGTTTCAAACTCCACTTTTTGAATGTTGAAACTCATTATTCATATGAAACTTCTTTTTTAACTCAAAAAAGTTAATTTAATGTAATTAATAATGATAATTTATGCAAATTTTGATGCAATTTTTTTTTTTTTTTTTTTTTTTTTGATGACATGCGCATACTAATTGTTATGTAACGCCTTACAGGTATATCCGATTTCGACGAAAATGGTATCAAAATGTGCGTGAGACTTGAGGGAAAAAAGTCATGAAACGACAATTCAAAATTCCAAGCGGTTGCGGCGCAAACTCCAAAAATGTCGAGGGGGGGGCCTCCCAGGCCCCCCCCCAGTACAGTAAGGGTTAAAGGTGTGTGTCATTCGCCTTTACGACTAAAACAATTCAAGGAATTCAAGGAAGTAGCTTTATTTCAAGCTTGAAACCCTAACAAATGACTTGAAGAGTAAACTTAGCATCTCAGACACAACTCTGGGAACAATTACATTGCCTTGAGTATTAGCAGTGAAGCTGTAATGCAAACATTTGATTCAGAAGAATGTTGATTCATGAAGTAGTTATCATGTGGTAAATGAATAATTTTAAATATTTTTGGGGTTTTGTCAATTACAACTTTTACATCTTTATCATTACATGCTAGTGTCTACAAATACTTGAAAGTGTATTAAGTCAAATTTTCTGTATCATGCATGTGCATGTAGTTCGAGGGAATTTGAATAGACGTGTTAAAGATATATCCACAATTATGTGCAGTTGCATTTACATGTAGTTACCCCTTGCAAATTTGATGTTTTTTGTGTTTTATGTAACTCAAGATTGAAAGGTAGACAGGTTGAATATGGGCCTTCATGGAATACTTAGCTTTAAAATGTCACATTCTCAAGAAACAAACATCAGGACAATTCAATCTGTTTACCCACTTAAAAAATTACAATACTTGGTAAGGGTGTGATTAATTTAGTTTATAACTGTATTTAAATTATTTTTTAAAATTCCTCACTATGGGTGTAGATGTGAAGGAGGGAGTGATCCGAGTGATAGCCTACGATGAGGTCGAAGGTCAACGGGTCAGTGTGAACGCTCTCCTCGTCCAGAGAGGCCTTGCGGAAACAACAGGTCCAGGGTAAGTCGTTTCATCTGTGAATCATTGTGTGAATCATTGTATGAGCTCTGGTTTAAGTCCTTTGTTATTCTATATTTCCCCAAAGAAAAGCACTATTAAAATTTCACATGAACTAAGGCATATTGTTCAACTTGCAAAATGACCTTATCAGCAAGTTCACAATGTGGCCTAAGTTATTAAGGCTTATATATTTGGATTAATTGTGAAGGAACCCAATTAAGACCTGAACTTATTTAAAATATCTTATTTATTTTAGACCTTGTAAATATACATGTACATTTTGATAATGTCATACTCCTACGTTGACTCTCTAGAATCTGTGGTACAGTTAAGGATATGTATACCATGGTGAGGATGTTCTTCCTCAGTTGTTACTTCATTGAGGTTGCTGTGCATACTCTACGTACCCTTTGCCCACAGCTCCGTCAGTGCAGAAATCCTCAGAGGACTTTCTCCCAAGCCAACACCCATCTTGCCAGACACCACCACCACGCAATCAGAAGAGGCCACACACAATGTTGATTCCAGCGGGGACAAGATCACCCGTGAACCAGTATCCTCCACAACCGATGGAACCCCTCTGAAATCACCCGAACCCGTGCAGCAGGTGCCTTCGACAGAGGCAGCGCAAGAGACCAAGCCAGCCAGAATCACTCCAACCGCAGGGAGGTCGTCCAGAGGCTCTTCGGTGACCATAGGATGTAGCAGGTCTCAGGGTCAGTCTTCGCAGCTCTCGGGGAAGTACAGCGCCTACACGGCGGTTCATGTGAGCCACGCTGAAGCGCCCTCTTGCATCTATGTCCAACTTTCCGCCGCTGGCAAAGATGGATTAGACAGGTGAATATGGACAGTTTGAATCTATCATAAATTATATTTTTTGCTTTTTAGTAGATATTTATATAATATTGGATGGCTTTGAGTATGATACAAGAATATATTGCTCGAGCTATGACAATATTGGACGAGTCAAAGACGAGTCTAATATTGTCTTAGCGATAGCAATATATTCTTGTATCATACGAAAACAAAGCCATACAATATTATTATTATTATCTATATTAGTCTGACTAGCGAAATAACAAATTTGACTTTCATAGGTAAATATAGCTTTGTTTTCGTGTGATATCGATATGGGATCGATAGTTGAAGTTCCTGGATAACTGAGCAATGCGAAAACAATATTGGTCAATCATCCGGGTACTGCGCTAAAGATATTGAATACACTGATTTATTGTCGCACTTGGAAGCCTTATATAGATAATAATATGGTGTATTTAAATTTTTTATTCAATATTTTTGTTGTGATAATTGTGATCAGGCACCACAATACCACCCTCCAAAAACAGAGGCAAAACTACTTCTTCCTACAAACTGTTAAATACTCTTTCAGATATGCGGCGGTAAACCATCGCAGCTTATTTCTACGTGTACAGGAATGGCATTTGCGTGCCACAAAGGTCCCATGCGTATTCACTGAGCTCTATGTTATAAGATACAGAAATGTGAAGCGTAATACACCTACATCCTCATAATAATTTGTTATATTTAAACGACGCGGTCACCTTGTCATATATGAATGAGTGTAGGAAGCTAAAATTGATACAAAGATATGGATACTAGTGACAGTTAAAAGGAAATCACAAAATGAAATCCATAATTTTGATTAAGTGTTAGCTTTTAGATTGATTTTGTTTTAAAGACCGTCTGCACTAGTTTGGCCAGGGTGATTAGACCTCCTGTCAATGACAGGTGGTTATCTCATCAAATCAGCTCTCAATTAACATTAGAAAAAGAGGATCATGGGGGGCCAATGGTCACCGATTAGGCATTGTTTGCTATATAGAGGGCGCAAGTACCCATAAGTAGTGCAGTGGGGCTTTTAGTGTTAGCTATTAGATTGATTTTGTTTTAATCCTCATGAGCTATTTGATATTTCTTTGTCAAGTTTACTGGAGTCTATGACACTATTCTACAAGGAGCAGGCAGAGTGTGAGAAGACGGACTGGAAGGAAGGGGAGATCTGTGGTGCTTTGTTAGTCAGGGAAGGGGTTTGGTGTCGAGGAAAGATACAATGTATGCTTCCTGATAATAATGCCGTGGTAAGTCTCTTCTTCTTGAACCGTGGACTACAGGAATTTCTCACCCCCTTGGCATATAACCCTTTCGCGACAATCATTCCACATTTTGTGGTTTGGCTCAATAATCTTTGATTTAGAGCTCTCAAAAATATGCCAGATGCATGAGTAAAAATGGCAACATTTCTACACACATTACATCTATTTTTGTTTCATGACTATATTTCGTATCAGTGGAATTTAGCGACACTTTTTTAATTTGCTCTATCAATCTATGTTGGTATATTCTTATTGGTACATGGGAATGGATGATGAGATGAGTTGCAGTTAAGAAAAGATTTATCTGCAAACCTGCTAGTATATGTTCATGCTCAGTTGAATGTAAACAAAATATCAAAACAAAACACAATGTTCTATATTTTGTGTATGATCACAAGTTTTGTTCTCAAATTTTTCATATACTAAGATGTCTTGCCTCCTGTCATCAAGGTCCTGTTCATTGGCTACAGCAATGAGGAGGTGGTTTCCATCGCCAACATCCGCCCAATGTCCAGAAAGAATTTCCCTTCAAGGGGCAGTACCTTTCCTCCAGACATTCACTCATGCAATCACAATCTGCCATCACTTGCCTCCTTTCCTCAAGGTTCTATTCACCGACTACGGTAACGAAGAAGTGGTTTCCATCGCCAACATCCGTGCCCTTGACGAGCGGTTTCAGAAGGAAGCTCCCTTCGCCATCCGATGTCACCTGGTGGACATCCTTCCTGCGGGAGGCACGGCAGAGTGGACCAAGACGTCCTGTGACTTCTTGGAAGAAAGGCTGAACGATCTTGAGTGCTACATCTGTAAAAAGGTATGTCAAAAGTACCACTTAAAGCATATCTGCACTAGTTGGGCAAGGAGGGATTAGACCTCTCTGCATGGTCACAGACAGGTGGTTATCTCATAAAATCAGCTCTCAATTAACATAAGAAAAAGGGGATCATCGGGGACCAATGGTCACTGATTAGCATTGTTTGCTATATGTTTGCGATAATGCTACATTTTGAATGAAGAAAGCTGAAGACACCTTTTGAAAGTAATAAGGAAAGATAATGTAGGTAGGGATGCTTTTGTGAATGAGAGTTAAATCCGTAAAAATAAATACATGATTTAAAAAATATATGTTTCTTGAAAGTGTTACCTCTAAGAAAGTGCTACCTTCAGGATGAGGTAGTACAAAGATCTCTCTTGAAAGTTGCTTGGATATTTTAAAGGTATTTGGTTATGACTCTATAAATGGCCTGGTGTGCTGGATATGTAAGAAGACAGGACAAAGATATCCATAGACGGTTTCTTGAGGAGTTGGACATAATGAAGGATGCTACTTTTTGTACAAAATTATGACAAAGATGTTCCTTTGAAAATCACCTTGTTTCTTTTTTCTGATTCTCAGGGTGACATTGAGAAGAATTCTCTCCCGATAGACCTTCTCTATGAGCTGACTAATAAAGAGAGAGTAGCGAGAGAGTCTGCAGAAGATTTAGCAAGCATCGCGGAGCTCCTTGTTCAGAAAGGCTTAGCGCTAAGAAAGAGGTAAATAGTTAATATCTTTCTTAACTTGTATATAACAAAAATTACAGAAGGTGGGACATGATAAACGTGAGATTTGCCCTGATTTAATGTAAGCTTAGTCACCCAAACATAAACATTTATTTGCTCTGCTGAGTAGATTTTATTTGGAATGGAATACTTCTCATTAGTTGCTTTCATTGTGGTTGCTCAGGACAAGTCTTGAACGATTATGAAATATGTAAAAAAAATTATACCTCCACCACCGAAAGTGTTGCCAGAGGCATTTTGCTTTCGGGTTGTTGGTCCTGCTTTACGTTACAGCGATAACCCAAGAATCATTGAACGAATTTTAACAAAACTTGATGAAGGGTGTATGAACAATCAACAATGAACCGATTAGATTCTTGGTGTAATAGGTCGAAAGTCACAGGGACATAAAAATGTTAAAAACTCCTTTAAAAATATAAAAGCATCATAGTAATTCAAACCTAAGTTGGATAAAGTATATATTCATGCTATAAAGTTTCACAGCACCCATGGTAATCTGGTTTCTGGTGAAATGTGCGGAAGGGAGAATTACATGGAGGGCGAAGGCAGTCAAATTGCTCATGTCTTTTTTTAAGAAGCTAGGTAATTAATTTACTTCATGTTCTTGCTCTTAAGATCTTCAAAGGTATGAAAAAAGAAAGATTACTATCAAAACATTGTTAACTACTCTATAACTTCAGCATGTGATCTGCAATATTTTGTACATGGGGATGTGTTGGTGAGTGATTAAAGACATACATGTAGTACAAGGTCATTTGCATGTCTAGTTTTACAATTGATCAAAATTACATCTGAGAAACATAACAAATAATTCTATCAATATTTTAAAAACTGAAAATTTTTAGTTATTACAGTTACTAGATTTTTTTTCTAAGAATCAGACAACTGATAGTATCATATATAAAATCATTATTTAAATTCATTCTTTTCTCTCTACAGGCGAAAGGTGTCAACTCCAGAAGTTCACAAGAATATTGCAACTCCTCATGTTACAGCCAAAACACCGCCATCCTACCACCCTACCACCACCACCACCACCACCACCACTTTGAGTCCCAAAACAAACTCTGACCCTGTCACACCCCAAAGCAGTGGTGTAAGCTCCCTCAATACCACCGCCTCTCCCACCTCCCTGGACGGCCCCACCACGCCCGATGAAGGGTGTCCCGCGATGCCCGCCGACTCTGCGCTGCTCCTGGATGAATATGAGAACTTTGAGGGGACCGGAATCCAGGAGATACTCCCCCAGTATCCAGCCCCGCCCTTGCCGACGCTCTCCCAGCTACAGCTGATCATCACCTTTGTGAGCGACAATGCAATCATCTATGGACTAGATGTGGATAGATGTAAGTCATGATACCAGGTGCTTCTCTGTAATACTGGTAAAATAGTCCAACCAGTCTTTAAATGCCACCAGGGTGAAGAGGTTGCTCTACACGGTAAAATCTAATCTAATCTAATCTAATCTAATCTAATCTAATCTAATCTAATCTAATCTAATCTAATCTAATCTAATCTAATCTAATCTAATCTAATCTAATCTAATCTAATCTAATCTAATCTAATCTACATGTTAATTTAGTAGCCTTGTGTTGTTTTTAACAGTTTTTGGAAAAAGCATGCAAAAATAAAAATAAAGGAATATATTGTGAATCGTGTAGTAGATTGGTTACTTTAACCCCTGTTAGAAAATCCACGACTGCTGCTCGATTGCTGCAGAAAGCGCCATTGATACCTTTGGTACTTTAACAAATATTTTATCCATTGGCAATATATTTTAATAATCTTTCTGCATAACAAAGTAACTATTAACTCTTAAGCTGCCACCCATACAATGCAACCAGTGCCACAGTGCTAATTCCTATTGTGCCACAGTGCTAATCTCCTGCGTGCCAAGTTAATTTTAAGGTTGGTTCAAGTGCGTGTTATTTAAATCTTTACAAAAAACAAATCGCTGAATTACTCGAGAAAATCCAATCTGACTGTTGTATACAAAGACGCGTAATCCAAAGCCGATAATCTGATGCACGCGATGGTACTTTCAATAGCGCTGCAAAAGCACTCAGCACGGTGCAATGGGCATGAACAATAACTGTTATTACATCTGCGCGCTAGCGTGCACAAAGCACCGTAGCGGTGGCTCGCTAGCATGAACGTGGCTTTCAATCGATAGCACGCTCGCGTGCACATGGCACTATAACAATAGCGCGCTAGCAGTCTCATGGCAGGATAAGAGTTAACTTTAATTTTGACCATGTTCATTTATTCATTATTTATTATTTATGTGGCACTTTCAAGAAAAATAACAATGAAACAATATAATTATGGTGATTACAAAATTAGAATGACAAAAATTATACAAATAAAAAATTTTGTAGCAATATTCTGAGTGCAAAAGATGGCGGCCAGGGAAGAGGAGAGCAAACCTAAACACTGTATTAAACCGTAATCACTGCCCAGCCAACTGATGCACGCAGAAGACTGGTAAAAAATATATCATAATGATAAGGACAAATAAAGAGAGTAATAAATCAAGGATAAACAGTACAAAATATATCAAGGAAAGGCACAAGCAAATGTAATGCCAATACAGAAATACAGAAGTACAGATTATATACGACATTAGAAAATTCACAAATTCAATAATATGATAGCATTGTCATTCTCTGTCTCTGTACTTTTTATGTTGTTACAGTTGAAGATTTTCAGCAGATGATGGCTGCCCAGCAAGTAGCCTGTAACAGCCAGAAGCGTAGTCCTCCAGACCCCAGCTCCCTCTCCCTCTGCCAATGCGTGTGTGCTAGATTCACCCTGGATGAACAGTGGTACAGGGCAAAGATCATCGGTATCACCGAAGACACTGTTCGGGTAGGTTCCTTGAACTATGTTTGTGTGTCTGAAAGAAGGAGGGGAGGGGGGCAAATGTACTTTTGCTTGATTCATTTGTGATACATTTACCCTAGATGAACAGTGGCACAGGGCGAAGATCATCGGTATCACAGAAGACACTGTTCAGGTAGGTTCCTTGAACTATGCTTGTGTGTTTGAAGGGAGGGGGGGGGGGGGGGGGGGGGTGTACTGTAGGGGGAGGTGTCTACATGGAATTTTGCTTGATCCACCTCGGACAATCATCGATATCACCAAAAACACATTTGGTTTAGATTAGTTTGCAGAGTGTGTTTTTGTGGTTTGTGATAGATTTACCCAAGATAATCAGTGGTACAGAGCTGCAATTTCGGATGGATAGCTTCCTTCTATAATGTCTGTGTCTGTGTGGTATTTAAATTCACATTAAATGGCCAGTGGTAAAGGGCACAGCTCATTGGTATCATGAAATATACTGTCAGGGTAGGTTCCATCAAGTCTCACTCCATTAACAAAATACGAAAATTTGGATTTATTTAAACTATGTTCTAATCCATAAAGCATCAGATTCAGACTTTTTTTTAAAGCCCCTCTGCACTAGTTTGGCCAGGAGGGATGAGACCACCCAGCGTGGTTACTGACAGGTGGCTATCTCATCAACTCAGCTCTCAATTAACATAAGAGAAAGAGGATCATGGGGGATCAACGTGTAACGCTTAGGCATTGTTGGCTATTTAGAGGGCGTAAGTAGCTTTAAGTAGTGCAGTGGGGCTTAAAAGAATCATGACATTTGTATTTTTTTAATCACAAGAATTTATTTTTTGTTGCTTTTCACAAACAGGTAAAGTATGTTGACTTTGGAAACTCAGAATCACTGCCTTTTGATCGAATCAACCCAACACCGTTCCAGCTCAATGTACCCCAATACAGCAGGGAATGTGTCCTCTATGGAATACAGCCGGTAAGTGGACGCTTTCCCTTGGGAAATGGTTATGTGATTGCAGGAAATTTTTCTAAGCTATTTTGTTTTAAAGTACATATTCATTGATTTTAAAAAACTAACTTTATTTTCATTATTGCAAACAAGGGTGTCGATTTGTATCCTTGGTTGGGGGGGATGATAGGTGCCAAAATATTTTCGGCAATGGATCAAGGCAATCAAGAGGTAGAAGCGTGTGGCAAGTTGCACCCCTCCCAAGCGCGTAGCCAGGATTTCATTTTAGGGGCGGTAGTGAGCACGCGAAGCGCGGTCCCTAGGGGGTTGCGTGCAGGGAGGGGGAGTCCCCCCCCCCCCCCCCCCCCCCGCGAAGCGCGGAAGCTTTGACGTTTCACTAAATTATTAGAGAAAGAAGACGATTCGTTGGACCGTTCTCGATTCTTAATCCTTGTTTGAATCAAGTTCCCCTTCCTCCGCGCATAGCGCGGAAGCTCTGACGTTTCATTAGATTATTAAAGCCAGAAGACGATTCGATGTACCATTCTCAACTCTTAATCCTTGCTTGAATCAAGTTCCCCTTCCTCCGCACATAGCGCGGAAGCTCTGACGTTTCATTAGATGATTAAAGAAAGAAGACGATCCTATGTACCATTCTCGACCCTTAATTCTTGTCTGAATTTATTTTCGCCCATTCCTGCGCGAAGTGCGGAAGCTTTCACATTAGTGAAAGAAGACAATTTGTTGTATCGTGTCCTTCATGAACTCAGTTTCCCCCTACCGCGCAAAGCGCGGAAGCTTTAACGTTTCAATAAATTATTACTCTTAATTCTTGTCTGTATTCATTTTCGCCCATTCCGCGCTTAGCGCGGAAGCTTTCACGTTTCATTAAATTATTCGTAAAAGAAGACGCTTCGTTGTATCGTGTACTTTTGACGTTTCATTTGATTATTACGCTTAATCCACGTCTGAATTCAGTTGCCCCCTAACAGCTTTGCCCTTTTCACTGAATTATTAGAGAAAGAAGACGATTCGTTGTACTATTCTCTATATTAATCCTTGTCTGAACTCAGTTTTCCCACTGAAAATAATTTGTGTTACAAATAAGTTGTGACATAATAATCTTTCTCCAAAAATGAAAAATCTTTTAGGAAATATCAGGAAATAAAACGAGTGAAAAAAATAAAAATAAAGATACAATGACGTGAATTTTAAAAAGGATGAACGGAAACAACATAACAACTAGAGAACTATTTTATAAGTCATACTAATGTCCGAAAATCTTTCTCCTTGTCTCCGATCTCATCACGAAATTGTCACAGAGTTCAGCTATGTTTACACTGTCCAGGATTGTCTGATGTGCATTGTAGATTGCTATTTTTGCGTTTCGCGCTTAACATGTAGCTCGTTGCTTTTTGACGCTGCGTCTTTGCATTTGGCGCACTGCATTTCTATGATGCTGTTGATTGAACAAATTGAATAAATTCATCAATTCCTGATGAAGCCGTATGAGCGAGAATTCAATTTATTCTTGTCTCATATACGGTTGTCTTATTTACTTCGTATACATGTATGTATTATGAAAATGAGAAAGCAAAATGGTCATCTTGCGAGTAATAACCATTAACTACTCTCATCGGGCTCTCATCCTTAATTTTTCTCTTCATTTTTTTTTTTTTCTGATGGTGAATTATTGGGGGGGATGATTGTACAGGCCATCCCCCCCCCCACCTGAAATATTGGAGGGGATATATCCCCCCATCCCCCCCCCCCCCCGAATCTCTTGTATATCCCAGCTGCTCTGGAGGTGGTTGTATTTGTATTTTTATAAATCACCCGTTATGTAGTTGACCTAAAACTTGTACGATGGCCCTTTGTTAGCTTACCAGTTTCTAGTGATACATTAGTTGACATATTTGTGATTTTCTTTGAATTTCACCTTTAACATTTTGTACACAAAGAGGTTAAGTTCATTGTTATGTAATGGGAATATTAACTGAGATCATACAATGCTGGATACGAGCCTATGAAAGTTGTGGAGTCATTCATGTATCCACAAGTAGTGCATTCCATACAGATTACAGGTGGAAGTATTCTATATAAAAGGGTATTCTTAAAAGTCTTTTAAAAGCGAAACAAAAGTTATTCATAAAGCACCCAGTGGTGGATCCAGGAGGGCACAGGGAGTATGTGGCCCCCGGCCAAAAAAAAAATGTTGGAATCAGCCCCAAATTCGCAAAAAACGTACTGGCAAACAGAGACCCCCCCCCCCCTCCCCCAACTGAGCGAATTTGCGGCCGGGGCGATTATCAAATATTCGGGAGCATAAAATTTTTTTTAAATGTGCTCTTACCCCCCCCCCCCCCCCCCCCCCCCACTTATTCAGCGGCTGGCTGAGTCGTTGCGATTTTGGGGGACCAACAAAAAATATATATATATATATCCTCTTACCCCCCGTGTGATGGTTTCAAAGTTTGTTTTAAGTTTTCTGTTTCATACATATACACATACGTCCCATTTATGATTTAGTTTATCTCAAGTGCTCCTGTATTAAACCAGATCTTTAGATGCCCTTTAAGTAAGGAATACATGCACATGAAAATTATCATACCATGGATCGGTTATTTGTAGGATCATTGTTTTGATTGTTCAGTGAAACCTGTCTATAAAAACCACTCAAGGGAGAAAAGCAAAGTAGTCTTTATAGGCAGGTGGTCTTCATGTACGGGTTCATTGATTACATGTTCCCATGAGAAATCATTTTCAAGGGGAAACAAAATTGCCTTTATCGACAGGTGGTCTTTCTATACAGGGGGTCGCTATGTTTGACTGTAGTGAGATTATATAAGGTCGGGATATAATGCATAGAGTGCAAGCTAAAAATGCTTTCATTATACAACTAACTATTCTCCAATGCTCAAGATTATGGTAATTATTATCTTAACCCAAAGTGTGAAAATAGTTACAGTGAAACGTGTCTATAAATACCACTCAAGGGAGACAAGAAAAGTTATTTTATTGTTTCAATGAGGAGCCATTTTCAAGGGGCCAAAAGGGCCTTTATAGACAGGTGGTCACTAAATCAGGTTTGACTATACTGTAAGATACCCCTACTTTATTTGCATATAAGTAAAAAGACAAACATTAAAACACTTTTCAAGGTTCACAATCCATAAACTTTATCCAGGACTGTTTCAATAGTGCATGTACAAGTAAAACCATCATTTCATCATGATAATGCTACTTGTTTTGTGGAAAGGACATGTACCTTTATCAGTCAAAGAATACGGTCAAACAAAGAGCTGATACCACAGACACCACACGCATAATCCACACTTATACCCCGTTCAGACTACACTGTACCTATATTCATTGTATGATTATACGATTTAGTAATTGATTTTGCCCTATACCTGTAGTCTGAACGTCATATAACAAAATGTATAACAAAAAGAATAGTGAGACCCATGTGAGAGCACCGCTTTGAACAAAAGCTTGATAAAGAAACAGGGTCCCGCTCTCATCTGAACGTCGTGTTGTATAAAAATCGTATTACTGGGCGAGTCTTATGACTATGAGCGCTCACTGATGACTGGCTAGCTGTCGTGTGAACTGACCTCTTCAAAACTAGTTGCTTTCAGTATGACGTTGCTTTTAAACAATGTTGTTATTCAGTCTGTACCTCTCTTTTTGTGCTGTACGATGATTCTTGTAATAGTTTTGAATTCCGTCCAGTCTAAACAGACTACTTGTTTGCCTCTAAATCTTTCTCATTCATCCCCAAAACACTGATCTAGAGAAGTGATGCAACGCCAATATCTCACCCTCCGGAAAAAAAGATATCATGTTTTAAATTTCTATGTATTTCAGATTGTCCATTTAGTGCAATTTTTTAGAATTTGTTTTAGAGAAAAGTCCAGCCCTACTAGTAATGATTGATGCATGCCTTCGGGGCTAACTAACTGTATTTATTTGTAATGTAATTATTGAGTTTGAAAATTAGGTTTCCCACTAGATTTTGTGGAGGATAGCCGCTCAACAAAAGTAATCCGGCTTTGTATATGATGCGCAGGAAAGTCTGATTTTTCTTCTCTGAAAGCCTTGGTATTTATTGATGTTTCTAAATATATATGTATTTGTGGTCAATAAGGAATTTCTTACGTAGAATGAGATTTTGTTTTGCTCAAGAGAACCTGGTATTAGAGACAAAGTGAGCAACTTACAAAACAGCAATGATGGAGAATGCCTGCCGGTTGGGATTATTGTAATTAAATTTAGTAGCCTTGCATTGTATCGTATTTTACCTTTTGAACTCACTAGCTATTAGAAAAAGGTTGCGAAAACCTTTAGTAGATGTCTGAAAAGGTTGACTGAAGAAATATGCTCAGAATTCTCACATGATAACAATTATAGCTAGCTCACCAGCACTGTCTTTCACAATATTTTACAGAATTTTGCACATCATGCTCCTGCAATGGTTGCTCTGGACACAGTTTCATACAGTTAAAAGAAATAATTACCATAAATGTTGGTCTCAATGCTTTAGCTAAACATAATCCTTATCCTTACCCTTTCCAAACCTCATGTCTTTGGTGAAATAAATTCCAGCGCAATTGACACCAGGAAATATCAAAAATTGTAAATCTGTAGATTTGTGACCATGATTTGTACGTCCCTTGAGAGACCTGTCAGTAAATGGTGAGAGCAAACAGTGGCATGAACTGCCTGCCATAATTAAGACCAACTTAAAGTCAATCTTAGTCTTTCTGAAACACTCCCCAGAGCAATTTTTGGATTACCTATTTGACAGCAGGGGCTTTTAATAATATACATGTCGTAGGAGCATTGAGATAATGCAGGTATATGAAATATAATGAAATTAATTATTAATTAGAAAAGGATTCATTTATAAAGCATGAATAATAAACATGTAATTAATTTAGTTATTTTGTCTAGCTTGTAACAGATGACATCCGTACAAGTTTCATGTATCAACATCAACAGGAAAGTTTTTCTTTCCCTTTTGG